GGCAGCCGCCACACTAAAGCACCCTTGTGCCCCAACCACCCCCATCAACGCCTACACGCGCATTGCTGCACACTAAAATACGCCACCATAGGATAGTACTTGTGTTTACAAGTACTAACCTACAGCAGAGTTAATTAGTTTACTGTGACCTAATAGGGCCACATGTGTGGATGCAGAGACTTCACTGTGGAGCAAGTTAGGCAGCTCCGCAGTAAACATCTCATGTATATGCACCCCTTAAGTCACAGTTTGAGAAACTTGTTGAACTTCAGGTTGTAGATACAGATACAAAAGTATAGGCTCAAATCAAAATACAGGTATTTTACCTCAGCAAAGACTGGTATTAGCCTATGCAGAATTGTTGTCAACTCCAATCCAACTACAAGCAAGTGGTTACAAAGTCAACCAACCAGTCTAATACATAGCTGCTTTGAACCAAAGAGTAGAATCTTGGTGTTTCACCATGCTGGTCCTTTATGAATCGTTACAACCTTATGTAAATTATACTTATGATAAGGAGTGCACTGATAGAAATTTCTGGGGCCAATACCAGTAGCTGATATTTAAGGAGGCATATCGGCTGATACCAATCCAATTTCCAACACAGCTGCCTCCATCTGGTAAGTCTGGTGTGGTGAAAGGGGAGGGAGGAGGGAAGGGGTATGGGGGGGCAGATCAATGCCCCCCATGGGGCTTCTGCCACTGCTTGCACCCTGGGGGGTGCCCTCAGATCTGCACATGGTGGGACGGAGTGGGGGGGGGGCTGCATGGGGCTCTTCTCTGCGGGGGCTGGGCTCAAAGTGGGCGCTGGAGGTGATGGGAGGATGCTACATCCACCCTAAATTTTGCTGCCACTCCACTCCCAGCGCCACCACTGCCAGTCACCTGGCACAGCCCTGGATGAATGCCCCGCATCCACCCACGTGCCGGGAACAGCCAAGGCTGTGCCAGGGAGCTGGTGGTGGCAGCACTGGGAGTGGAGCGGCGGCAAAATTTGGGGTGGATGCAGCATCCTCTCAGCTCCCTTTGGTGACCATTTCAAGCCCAGCCCCCACCAAGAAGAGCCCCATGCGGCCCCAGCTCCAGCCTGCCCCGCCCCGTCCTGCGTAGATCTGCAGGCACCCCCTCCCCCTCCAGGGTGCAAAGAGAGGCAGAAGATGCCCCACCAAAGAGCTGCAGCTCCGCCCCCCCATGCCCCTTCCCTTCCCTTCCTTCTCCCCTTCTACCACACCAGACCTACCAGCTGGAGGCAGCTCTTCATGTTGCCAGGTCTGCTCCTCGCTGCCTAAGTGCTGCACTATGGCTGCGCACAGCATGGGCATTTATTGGCCAGATTATTGGCCCCATTGGGCCGATATCCAATACAGCCAGTTTTCTTTACATTGGTACCAAACCGATATCGGACCAATGTATCCATGCACCTCTACATATGGTGGTATAACAAGATCAAGCCTTACAGAAGTAAATCTACAACACAAAAGTAGTTACATATTTTTGGCAGAACGAATTAGTGCAAATTACCTCCAAGTGAAAGAAAGTAGTTTTGGAAGTGATGAAAAAGAAGCATATCTGAGCCTATCAGCCATACCATAGTCTATTGTCAGTAGAATTCACAACAGGTATTAAAACCCTATAATGATTTTTTTTTGTTACCTGTCAAAACTCTTTCCCAAATCATACTAAACAAATACAATTCTTGGATCTCTCACACAAAAAAGGAAGGCGTTCAAATGAACACTGCACACTGAACATACTAGTATTGACTGAAATTTATAGCTGGACTTCATAACTTGAGATCAACTCTACTACTCAGATCATAAGAATATAGGTACAATGATGAAAGGAATAAAAAGTCAGAAGCAAAACCTTCTACAGAAACCATATCTGTCATCAGTCAAGAATAAATACATCTCACCTTTGCAACACCCTAACTCAAATCTCTGTTTGAATGAATAGACTTGCCCTTTTTTCTTACCTTGTTTTGAGTTATGTCCCTAAACTGATTTTTTGGAAATCCTAAATTCTGTAAATAAGTGCAGTGATTGATT